ATGCAAGGCAAGCACTCTACCACTGAGCCACATTCCCAGCCCGTCCAGCATCTTTTTTGAATGGCACTGACATGTACCCCACCCCCAGCATGCCATCCAGAAACAACATCTCTTATGCTATCTTGATGGGGAGTATCAGGTCCGAGTGAGCAAAGAGGCTGCTTATTCTGTTTAGAGTGAGGTACCAGTTCATCGTGAGGTGATCTGATATTATATGGAATTTGTTCTAAAGGAAGTAGCACATATTTTAAGCAAGTGTGTACTTCCTATGGCCGACATGGGCCCCTGTAGCTTCAGGGTTTGAATCTATTTGCAGAGTTGCATAATCTATCAGGAACCTGGGTTCCTAGCAATAGCCTGATTTCAACTGCTGGGGTTTGAACTTAGGACCTAGGTACTTGCTAGGCAGGCACTCTACTGCCTGAGCCACACCTCCAGTCCAGTAGCTTGATTTGGTAAGTTTGGCTATTCCTTTGCCAAACTTTGCTGGTTTTATAGAGAACAGTGGTTTTTTTCTACCTGCTCTGGAAAGTTAAATGATGCCCCAATGTTCAGCAGGTTTGGCAAAAGCCAAGTGACAGGTAGGACCAGTCTGGATGGGGACAAATCTGCAAGTGTTTGAAGTCAGGGTCTGAGTTCAAACCCAGGGATGGAGCCACAGCGTGGCCTCAGGGACATTCCTCCCCTCTCAGCCACGTCTGGAGGAGCAAAGAGCTGTCCTGTCACCTAAGAAAGTAAGGCCACAGGGACAGGTAGGACAAAGCTCCAGCCTCCAGGCGTCCATTTGGATTGAACCAGAAGGCGGAGCAGAAGAGGCAGAAGCAGTGGGGATCACGTTCTAAGGTGCAAGTTCAGCCAGGGCTCCTGGAGAGGTCATCTGCTGCCCGGGAAATGGAGCCTTGGGAGTCCAAACAAGAGCTATTAACCGGGCTCCCACAACCCCCCTGCCAACCCACGCAGGGCAGGGCGCCTCCTGCTTCTACCCACGGGGCGGGGGCAGGGCCGTTGGGTTCAGGTCACAGCAGCCCTCTCTAATGAGGAAAAGCCAGAGGTGACCCAGCCAAGGGCTGGGCCGCACACCCGGTTCACGAGCCAGCACTGCCCCAGACGTCCAGCTGCCAACAGGATGGGGGCAAGTCCTCAGCCAGCGGCCTGCAGAGGATCTGCGGAGAGACTCCGTGCCCAGCGCCGCAGCACTGTTCCATTAAGGGAGGGAGGAGCAGGGAGGGATACAGATAAATTTATTAGTTAAATACTGATTTTACAGCCATTTCACCTTAAGACCATGTTAACAGGTTTGCGGGGTCGGGAAAGGATGGGAGGCGGCCTCAGGGGGAAGACAACGTCCAGGATGATTAGAACAGGATCTTGGTTCAAAGATGTTCTTTGCAACGACCAGAGGTGTGGGGGGAGGGGCGGCGTTGGGGAGGGGATGGAGTAATGCCACAGCCACGGCTGAGGACGGGACAGACATGGTCAGTTCAAGGACAGCTCTGATGGCCCTGGAGGCCGCAGTGCCGTCTCGCATCCGGCACCTTCTTTCTTCCCATGGGTTTCGTTTGGCTCCGGATTTGCTTCCCACGGATCTTTGCAAACTCTCGTGTGTTTTACCTTGTGGACGGAGGCTCTGTGGAGGATAGGTGCAGGTCAGGCACCGTCTGACCCGTGGAGAGGCCAAGGCCCTGGCGGGCTCCTAGAGTCCTGGGGACGGCCGCTGTCCACAGATGGAGGGCGGGGGGCTCCCAGGTGGAGATGAGCATCACCAGCATTGCTATAGCAGCAGGTTTTGTCCGTCCTTGGAGCATATGGAATGGCGGCAGACCTGAGGGCCACTGGGGGACCACACTACCTAACTCTTCCCTGGCGGAGGGAAGGGCATGTTCAGGGCGGGCTGGGGAGGGCGGGGCGGCCAAGCTGTGTTTCCTGGAGTGGTCCCACGTGGTCATGCAGTGTCTCCTCCTCCGTCTCCCTGGAAACGCTCCGGGCTACACCTCGTGCGTGGAGGCAGATCGCCAGGCCTCGGGGGGAGTGTTAGGCCAGGCCAGGGCTGTCCCTCGGGCGCGAGCCCCGCCCCGACCCAGGCAGAGGCTCTGTGCAGCCTGCCTGGGAGCCCAGAGCCCCAGGCCATCTGGCTGTCCTCAGGTCCCCAGCACTGGAGCATGATGGAAAACCACCGCCTTGGGTCACAGTGTCAGGAAGAGGGGAGAAGCCCCTGGCTCTGTCCAGCGCAGTGGGGGAGAATGAGAAAGGCGTCCAGCTCCAGGCCTGAGATCTGGCAAACTCAGACAGCCAGCCCCGGCCGCCTCCGGCTGACCGTCCATGGGCTTCAAGTTCTTCCCAGGGGTTCCTCTGGAGCCATTCCCAGACAAGAGGGGGAAGGCCGGGGAGGCCCAGCCTCGGTCCCTGCTGCCCCAGGTCCCACGTCTGAGCAGGAGTTTGAGGAGGGAGGGAGGGAGATTATGCAGTGATTATGTCCCCGTGACTGTCGGTCAATACCAGGCTGTTCCAAGAGTCCTGCTTGGAGCTGGCCTGCGGAGACTGGCTGACCGGAGACGCGTAGCCTTGCGGGGAGAGCTTCAGGGTGGAGAGGACGGGGTGGATGGAGGGTCCATGGCCGGACACTGCACTGACGGAGAACGTCTGAAAAGCGGAAAGCAGGTGAGGTCATTGGGAGACTGGGAGGGCTGAGGGCGGGGCCGGGGAGGGGAGGAGGACGGCAAGTGCTGCCCTCTGCTGGGACCGAGCAGCAAGTGCTGCCTTCTGCCTCCGCCCTGGATGCAGGGAGGTCTGTATCATCCTGTGTCACTGGCGGTGAGCCAATAGGATTGCAAGTGCTGTGTGTTCTCAGAAGGGTGTGAGGGCCACGGCACATTTTCTACAATCTTATCACCAGCGCATCACAAAGCGGCTGTTCTCCAGAACTGTGGCTCTCTGGGACCAGGTCCTACATAAAGCTAGTTAGGACATGGCGTTGCCTAACCCCAGGGCAGACAAGAGATCAGAGAGGCTGGAGTGTCAGAACAGGGAGGTAGGTGGTAACATCACATTCCCGAAAGAGGGAGAAGAGCGCGGCGCCATCATCACCTACAAGAGGCGCCTGTGGCCATGTGCCTGAGGCTGGACCTCATGAACTGGTAGCCTGCCTACCATGCTCACCACCGGGCCCCCAGCCGCTTCCAGGCCTGCGTCTGTCCATCCTCCTGCTGAGATCCGTCTGGGCCAAGAGCCCTGCTCTGCCTCCAGCCCAGCCCCCGCGGGTGTGTGTGTGTGTGTGTGTGTGTGTGTGTGTGTGGTCTGGCTCCTCTCTGCCCCATGTGCCAACCCCTGGGCCCCTCTCTTCATCTCCAAAGGTCACTGGGCTGCTCCTGCACATCTGCACACCCCAGTTGGGGCTATAGCACTGTGCTGGATGGGGCATCAGTGGCCCCATCAGTAGTCTAGAATGGGGCGTCTCCTTCTGCCACCTGCAGCCCCCACTCCAGCACCGGCCGAGCTCCTGGGGTCTACCTCCCCGGCAGCTCTGTCTCCACCCACGAACGTACCTGGGACATGGAGCTGCTGTGGCCGTAGTGGGCTGACAGCCCGGGCTCTGTCTTGATGGGGCGCATCTCCTCGCTGCTGCTGCTGCTGGTGGTGGCACTGCTGGAGGTGCTGGAGGTGGGAGGGAGGCTCTCGCTGCCCGGAGGACCTGGAGTGAAGTGAGAGTCATGACACCTGATGGGGGGGGGAAGGACAACTGCAGGGGGGCCCCCCCCCGAGACCCAGGCCATCCCAGAATGGCAGAAGGGTCAGGATTCCAAGGGTACTTTTCAAAAATAGTAGTAGTACAAAGGTGATGTACAAAGGGGTTACATTACATAAGCTGAATAAAGAACACGTTTCTTTTTGGACAATGTCACGCTGTCTCCCAGTTCCTCCCTCCCATCCCCACCCACACGCTGTAGAGTTCATTTTCTACACAGTGTCTACTAAGCACCAGTACTGCATTTGTTCACCTTTTGTCCCTCCATTCTTCAACCGGCACTTGTTCAAATGACCTGCTCATCCCTTCTTGCTCCCCAGCATTCCAATATTGAGGCCCCATATGTTTTAAGATTCAAAACTTGAGATTCCCGAAAGTGCAAATGCTATATATTGTAACTCCAATTAAATTCATAGATGTCTTCACAGAAGAATGTGAGTAGTAATGGTAATTTGGACACATGGAGGCTGTAAATGGCCTGTGTTAGTTCACAGGAACTGCCTGCTTTCTGTCTGTACCTGTGGCAGCAGTGGGGAGGAGGAGGGGGGGTTCCCAGGCGCTCCGTGGTACTGTGGAGGAGTAGAAGAACTCCACTGGAGTCAGAACATTCTAGGAGGAGGTATTTCTACTGGGAGGAATACACCATTGTTGAATTGGGAACGTTTGAACTTGACCGTGGTGTTGGCTGTGGAAACGGGCAATGAATCTGACCCGTCACGCCTTCCGTGACAAGATAACCTTTCCAGAGTAGCCCACTGTCGGCTGCACAAAGAGCAGTCATGTGCTCGATTCGGTAGCAGTGCAGGGTGGGGAATGCTCTGGGCAGTGGGAGGCATTGCCAACCCTTTTCTTAATCTATCAAAGAAGAAGACAGAGCGACGTGGTAAAACCCTGGGTTCTCAGTCCAGATCGGCTGATGAACAGCTTTGTGATTAAGTCATCACCCTCTTTGGGCCTCAGTTTGCTGATTAGAAACATGGGAAGATGGCACACCCCACGGTACTCAGCCAGTGAGGAAACAGAGGAGGGACCTGAGCACTAGGGAAGAAACGGCTTGGTGTAATCACTCAGGGTGTGCCTGCCTGCCCCGCAGACACCTGATTTGTAAAGTCCATCAGCAAAGACTGGCTTTCACTGCAAAATAGAAAAAAAGGAGGGAGGGAGGGGGGAAAGAGAAAGAAGGAAGGGAGGGAGGGAGAGGGAGTGAGGGAGGAAAGGAGGGAGGGAGGGAGAGAATAGACAGACTGTTTCTCATAAGAGATTAGGTCTTGTAAGGATCACGGACTATGAGACACTATTTATGAAGAAGTTTGTAGAGTACAAAACACCACATAATGGTAGTGATGCTTTGGCTGCAGATCAATCTGTTGGGAACATGGTTAACGGGACTTTGTCCTCCAAAGAGAACCTCTCTCCTCCAGACCTCCCCTGCAAGCAGCAGTAACCAGAGCACAGCCTGCTTCAAAGGTCTTGTTCTATGGTGGTATTATTATTATTATTACTTTAACTGGGCAATTCATTCTGTCTGAGAGCCAAGGACGGACCTGGGTGACCTGGGCTGGCACGTCCACCCAAGAAGATCCTGTGCTCATACTCTCCCAGGGCTACTGACCACCCACCTACTTACACACAGATCTCCTCACCTGCTGGTGTCTTAGCTTTATTCAAGTTCTTGGGCTTCCGTTTTCTGGTTTGAATTCCTTCTTTCCTCATTGCAAGAGGTCTAGGGACCTAGAAGAGAGAGTCACAGGTCAGTAGGCTTCCTACTTGTATTATCTGCCACAGCGCGCGCGCACGCACACGCACGCGCACACACACACACACACACACACACACACAGCCCAACATCTAAGCAATCCTCTACAAACCCAGGACCCAAGACTAAGTGGGCAGTTTTTCACGAGAACCACTGCAGGTAGTAGGTGTGGCAGATGGTAGAGAGCTGGCCAGACATACGTGAAGCTCTAGGTTTGATCCCAATGCTGAATAAAACTATTACTGGGCAACTATACTACCTGGTACATCATTTATACTGGAGAAGTGGGTTTTTTTCCCACCATAAGTTTGGTTTAGTGAGAAAGACAGATGAGTAGAAATAACCAGACAGACTGAGGGGTGGTCCAAGCAAACAAAGGAGAAACAGTAGGAGAGGAAACATGAGGCTATCCCGGGGGGGCTTCCTTAGGAGGTGTCACAGAGCTGTATGAGGCTGCAGTGTAGACGGACACACAGTTTATACAGCAGGATCACTGCATGCAAAAGCCTTAACATTCACACCAAGACACTGAAAATGAAAGGGATGCCGGGAAGGCAGGCAGAAACAGGCAGGTGGGGAAGGAAGGCATGGAGGACTGCAGCTCTGCCCTGCACCGGGTCTGGCTGCACACAGCCAACAGTGGAGTTCACGGGAGGACCAGAGAGCAAGGCTGGAGGCTGGAGAGGCTGCCTGTATGTTTCCCTACACAGCTCCATGTGTATGATATAGACCATGTTATATGTTAATTTTTCCTGCTTAAGGGTTTTAAAACTTGCTTCAGAAGTTCTTTTGCCATCCCCAAAATTATGTAAGTATTTTATCTTACATTCTCTTCACGTGTGTGTGTGTGTGTGCATGCATGTGTGTGCCCTCCCGCCAATACTGGAGCCTGAATTCATGGCCTGGGTACTGTTTTCCTCAAGGCTGGCACTCTACTCCTTGAGCCACACCTCTACTTCCAGCTTTAGGTGGCTAATCACTGATCAGAGACTCACAGCCTTTCCTGTCTGAGTTGGCTTTGAGATCCTCAGACCTCAGTCTCCTGAGTAGCTAAGGTTATAGGCTCCAGCCACCGGCAATCGGTTTCTTCACATTCTCATTGCCTGGTGTTTTAACTGTATTTAGTTTGTTGTTCAGTATGTTTGTTGCAGTATTTTATTGTCCAGTACTTTCAGTTAATTATATTTCAAGTGTGCCTTACATTTCATGTCTTTAATTCATCAAAGTTTACTTTTGTTTAAGGTAAATATGAAGGTCTTGCTTTGCTTTACCAGACAAGTAGTTATTTGCACCAACTCATTTTTGGGTTTTGTGGTTTTTCTTTTTTGGATGGTCGTGGGGCTTGAACTCTGGGCCTGGGCACTGTCCCTCAGCTCTTCAGCTCAAGGCGAGCGCTCTACCACTTGAGCCACAGC